TGGAATTTTATTTAAATTATATTATGAAATATTTGTAAATTATTATTTCTTCAAAATGTCTTTTTTAATCATATTACATGTTTATAAGTTAGTTTTTACCAAATTATATTCATCATTTAGCTTATCGATTAATTTACGAAACATACCTTAATTATACTTTTTATTTTCCAACAGGTTAGAATGGTTTGGTGAAAAATAATTAAGTGGTCAGAATGATTAAGAGACTCTCATGATATAATATAAAATAAAATATAATTGTTTACAATGAAATTAGGGTTTTTAATGATTAAGAGAGACTCATGATACAAAATTATTAAGAGGATTTTAGAACTATTAAGAAACAAAAATATTTTATCAAATAAGATTCAATTCTTAACGATTCAGATATTGTCTTTTAACGAAATTATTAAGAAATAACATATTCAAAACCTTAATTGTTGAAAATCAAGTTTTTAACTTTTTGCTTTATTTTATCACCCGTTTTGGCAAATTTCCCGAACAAAATCAGCAGCCAAATCTTTTCTAAAACATCTCCGCCTTCTGTCCTTCACACTTCTCCATCTCTCTACTCCCAGCATCTCCTGAACCCTGGTTCAGATTTGTGTTGTTGTTTTCTCAATTCTCAACACACAGATCTGAAATTCTTTCTTGAAAACGAACACAAAAGAAAGAATTCTTGCGCATTTTCATTTTGTTTTTGTTAAAGGGAAATGGGTGCTTACAGAGCAGACGATGATTACGATTACTTGTTCAAGGTAGTTCTGATCGGAGATTCTGGAGTTGGAAAGTCTAATCTTTTGTCGAGATTCACACGCAACGAGTTCAGTCTTGAGTCTAAATCCACCATCGGCGTTGAATTCGCCACCCGTAGCATTCGTGTTGATGATAAAGTTGTTAAGGCTCAGATTTGGGATACTGCTGGCCAGGAACGGTACATATCAGATCTCTTTGACGCTCCAATTTTTATTGATTTTGTTTTCATGTATTACTTTCAATTTACTGTTCTGTATATTGTTGGCATATAATTGTAGAAAATAAAGGGTTCATCTACGTTGTTTGGGATTGCATTGAAGTGGGTAACTAGGATTTCTAGATCCTAGTGTTCTGTATGTTGTCTTTTGTAGGATTATTGTTCTTACGATCAGATCTGGAGTTTGCATTGTAACTGATCTGTGTAAATTGTAATCTTGGTGGTCCTTTTAGTTATTATGTTTTTTTTAATTTTTTTGTGTTAGGTTTAAGCGGGTTACTGTCATGTCAAGTTGCTCGATTTCAGTTAGTTATACTGCCTATTCACAAATTTAAGTGAATTGTTCTGTTTGCAAATTTACAAAGGGTACATGCTCATTCATTTTGGGATACTGGAGTGTAAGAGTTATAGTGGAACTTAAGCCAGAAATGTATTGAGCTTAGTTGAAATATGGTGTAAGTGGGATCTCTATTGTGTGATTGATTGACTGGAGTGTAAATCATATTGCAATCAACTGGAGTTTAAGAGTTAGCACGGAAAAATTGCCATGGGTATCATAAATGCTAAGTTTAAGTTCGGCCAGAAATGTATTAAGCTTAGTTGAAATATTATAATGTGATATAAGTGGGATCTCAACTGTGTGATTGATTATTGAAATTAATTGGAACTTGTAATCTGTATGTTGCGTGGATTGTGTTTCAATCAACTTCTGCAAGGATTAACTTTAAAGTTAATATATGTGACAATGATAGTTGATAGTTCTAATGCATTGGTGACAATAGACAATGAATGAGGCTTATCGAACTGCCTTTTTACTCAAAATTTTAGTTCATTTATTTTACTAAACAAAAGTTTTCTATTGCTCACTGACCAACGACCACAATATGAAACTCAACAGCAACATGGGTTTAGCCCATTGAAAGCTTTGACATTCACTTTTCTCTAGTTCTTACCCCCACAGTGTATAGTGTTAAATAAAATTCCAGAGAAAAGATGAAGAGAATGTAGTTAAAAGAATGTTTATACTATCGGTTGTTCGTTCCCGACTATGAGTTGTGAATCAATTAAATAAATAATAGAATTGGAAATTAGTCCTATAACCATGGCATGAATTTTCTTCAGCTTTATAGTCACTTCACACATCCGCTAGGTATTTAAATTGGGAAAAGACTTTTGCTTTGAGTTGGCTATCCTAGATCTAGCAAATGGAAGAAACCATGCTTACAAGACTATCTTCGGGTTGGATCCTTTACAGACTTTCTTTAATTGCACCTTTGACATTGTTATAATACATCACTACTTACTGATGTCTTTCTGGGAATGTGAAACTCTGGTGGCAGCTTACATAATAAGTTCATTCTTTGTCAAGGAGGACCATCAATTTTTCTATGGCGTTAGGATTGAGAGGTGGTGGATGCTTCTGTAATGCAACATTTACTTGTATTTGAGCCTTTTATCTTCCCCTTGGTTTATTTGTCGACTTCTTGTACGATTATACCCATTCTGTTTCATTGCAAATTGGCAAATAGATATGAATTAACTTCTATCTTTCTTATTACTAGCAAGATGCGATTTGTTGGTCCTGTAACACAGGTCATTTCGGACATGGCTTTCATGAAGATTTGGACTTCATCATTTTAATTGGTTAAATAAATTTATGAGTAAGAAAAACCCACCAGAAAGGAACTGTTGTTTGTTCATTTGACACAAAACTTACACTCCTCTTCTTTCCCTTGGATGTAAGACGCAAGGATAGAGTGAATCAATCATCTATCCCCAGTTTAAAGATGGTCAATTCGACCATGGAGCTAATACCAAAGATATGAAATAAATGAGTGTTTTCATGATTCGACCATGTGCTTACTTCTGTTTTTACTTCATCCTGCTTTCATGGGTGCATATATCTATAAGAAATGTTCTTTTTCCTTTCATGAATCCAATTCTTTATTCAAATCGTAGCAGAACCAAATTTCCTTCAATCGTTGCCTTTGTCATTTTATCCAGTATTTTTAGTAAGATGGAAACTGAAATGAGAAACACCGTTAATTATTTTAGTATGAACTCTTTCTTCATATTAGTCTTGACGGACTCATATTGGAAAAGTTGGCTTTTCATGAATGTGGAATGACATGCATTATGTTTTAGCTCACTTCGATAAAACTTGAGGATGAAGAGCCCACCCAAAATTGAATAGTTCTTGTTTGTGGGTTTGGCAATGTGGTTTAATCACAACCACAACCTAAAGAGTAGGAGCCAAGGTGGGGGTTTCATGTTCAAATTTGTGTATGAGGGAAACACAATTATTAAGCTACTAAAGTGAATGGGAATCAATATTCATGAAACCCAAGTTTGAAAAGATCAATTTTACATAACCAAGAAAACCTATCTTGCTAATAAGAGTTTACAACCTGCACTATGTTGAAATGAAGGCATCTTCTAGTCTTTATTTGACTCACGAAGACATGAGAAAGTGGACAAAAAAAAGCTTTCAGCATAGCCATGGATCTTTATAACAAAATTGAAATATCTTTGCTAGAAGTCTCTCGAGTGGAAAGGGGAGAAGGTTTGACGCTAACAAGGTCTTGGTTTGTTTTGGGAGCACTGCTTGTAATCGATCCTCCGGCCATAGTTAAATTAGTGCAATTGGTGTGGACCATATTCGTGTTCTTGAATACAAGAAAAGAGCCATTTTGAATGGAAAAAGATCTTGTTAGGCAGGCAACGTAATTGTTCAATATTACAAGAAAAGCCAGAATCAAAGATTCTATCAACGTTTTTTGTCCTGTTGAAATAAGTAATTTGTCACCACGAAGTAGTATGCTTTAGTGCGTGAATTTCTTTGTCTAAAAGACGTTTTATGAATAAATGTATTGTAAATCCATGTGGAAGCTGAAATAAGGTTGTATGCCAACTGCTATAGTAGAATATGCTTCTGTTGCATTTGCTATTCTTAAGGAAGTAAGTACACACACAATATCTCTTACTCTTGTAGCCATAGTTGTGAAAAGCACTCCTGAGGTGCGCTGAGGCGCATAAGGCGCAAAAGACTGGGATTTTTCCATGTCAAGGCTTGGCAAGGTACTGAGGCACACCAAGGTGCAGCGCTTGGCTGAGGCGCAAAATGGGCTTAGGCACGCCTTGTACAGATCTGCCCTAAATTCAAATAATTTTCTTGTCTCTTAGACTTCTACAAAACATTGTTATTAAATAAGTAAAAACCTAATAGTAGTTATGTCTTTTAACCTCCTAGACTTCTACAAAAGAGTTATTAGATAAGTCTATCTAATTCTCTATTCAATTCTAATCAGTCATCTCCTATAAAAAACCTCCCATACATACGTCCCATACATTGTATTCTCTGTCATGGCTTTAAACCTTACACACACTTGATGATGATGATGATGAGTGACTATCGACCTATTAGTCAAGACTTTATTGAGATATGTTTGATATTACTATTTTTTGGAAATTGAAATTGAAGTATGTTTTATGTAATGGTATTTGAGTTGATATTACTACTTTCTATATAATGGTAGTGTGTGTGACTGTGTGTATATATATTATCTTTTTACACGATGCGCCTCGCATATGTGAGGCCCACGTCTCGCGCCTAGGCCCCAGGACCCCTTTGTGCCTAAGTGCGCCTTGCGCCTTTAACAACTTTGCTTGTAGCAAGTGAACTACTAATGATTCAAATTTAAATAAACACAGTGATGTTCTTTTGTTGTTAATTGGCCACATAGGTGATGAACCGAAAATTGTTTTTCCTCAATGCGTTGTATAATTGGAATTGGGATAAAGGAAAAATCTTATCTTAGCTAGTCTAGGGATCAAAACTCTTTTCCTTTCCTGAATTAGGAATAATGGAGTTTCGGTATATGCTTTCCTTAACTCAAAGGTGATGGCTAGTAGATCTAGGACACCTATAAAGCAAGCAAATTTTCACATTATCATTGTTAACTCCCCATGTACACCCAAGGAAGGATGAGGCGATGGATAACCATTTCATGATCTCAAGAAGCATAGGTGACTTGTTGGAAAACTGAAATCTCGTACGGTGACACGTTTGGACATTGCATAGTAGTCAATGTTAATCATCGAGTCCTTCTAGAACAAATTCTCTGCCATCTGAAAGGAGTGCCGTCACGTGGATTGTTCTATTGATGCCTTGGTCACACTAAGGTAGAGTGTTTCACTTAATTGAAACTTATTTAGATGCAAGTTACGGTGGATGCAGTGATGACGGAAGATCCACTTCAAGATATTTTGTGTTTGTTGGGGGAATATGGTTTCATGGAAATGTAAGAAACAGAATGAGTCTCCCTCCAATGCTGAATCAGAGTATAGGGTCATGGCTTACTCAGTCTATGAGACAATGTGGGTTCATCAACTACTAAAAGAGATTGGTTATACGTTTGCACTTGCAAAATCGTTTTAGTGTGATAATATGGCTGCCCTTCATATTGCTTCAAATCCGTCTTTCACGAATGAACTAAACATATTGAGATTGATTCACTTTATTAACAAGAAGGATTTCTTACAAAAGGATATGTTTGAATGAAATATCAGTTAGGAGATATATTTACAAATGTAGCAAATAAGACATGTATTGATTACATTTCTAACAAGTTGAGCATGATCGATATCTGTGCTCGAGCTTGAGCGGGAGCTTTATGGTCATATGGAACCAAATTGCTAGGGACTGTAAATATTTGAAATAAGTTAGAGAAATCTTAAGGATTGATTTGGAGGATATATCTCACCCCCCCCCCCCCCAACAACATGCATACATATATATATGCCCATGTATGTACATAATCATAAAAGTACTCTTTATTAACTGTTAGAATTCTTGTAAAGAGTTGGGGTCCAACGTATATAGACGACAAACGAACCATGTCTAGCAGATGTGAGACTTTAACAGGTCTCTTTGAATGGAAGCTAGACAGTGCCCCCAAGAATGAAGACTAGGCTAGATTGGGTGTCGAGTGTGTCAAGCCCCCATAGGCCCTAGATGCTAGCTCTGATACCATGTTAGAATATGTTAAACCATGATTCTCTCTCTAAAGAGCCAGAGATGTTCCAACAGGCTAGATGGACCATGTCCGGCCGATATGGGACTCCAACAATAACAATTTGCACTTCTCAGGCATTGAAAAAGAGAAAGAAAGAGCCAACCAACTAAAGACCTACTTGCTTCAACATAAATATAGGATAGGAGACAAGCGTAATTGTAGAATCTTATTATCTTGTAGTACTATTTTCCATTTCATTTGATAATTAGCAATGATGTTCTTATCTATCTTCATAAGAAATAGTCAAGTCTTAAATTATTATTTTTCTTGACAAAGGTACCGTGCAATTACAAGTGCATACTACCGAGGGGCAGTTGGCGCATTGCTTGTTTATGATGTAACACGGCATGTCACATTTGAGAACGTAGAAAGGTGGTTGAAGGAGCTCCGGGATCATACAGATTCCAACATCGTTATCATGCTTGTGGGAAATAAAGCCGATTTGCGCCATTTACGGGCCGTCCAAACCGACGATGCCACGTCATTTGCCGAAAAAGAGCACACTTACTTCATGGAAACTTCCGCGCTTGAATCTCTGAATGTGGAAAATGCTTTCACAGAAGTTCTTACACAGATCTATCATATTGTCAGCAGAAAAGCACTTGAATCTGGAGATGATCCGGCTGCGTTACCAAAGGGGCAGACGATCAACGTTGATGACGTATCGGCGGTGAAGAAAGGCGGATGCTGTTCTTAGATGGGAAAAATGGTTTTTTTGGGTGAGTTTTGATCAAACGAATGGAAATTTCGGTATAAAATCATAGTTTTTATTGTTTCAACAACACTGAATCCGAGTTTTATGGCTATCCGGAAGGAAATGAATACATTCGATCTCGTTGTTTTTTTAGCTTGCTGTATTATTATAGTTGATAGCAATCTTCTGAATAGGTTTACATTTGATTGCTGTTTCTAGGGATTTATGTCTTTATTTGTTTCTGTGTTTTGTGTCCAAGATTTTATTGGTATCTATGTACTATGAGTATGATTATTATTGTGGGCTCTAATTTTGTACCAGATGATGTGCAAATTGGGTCAACTTTTCTTCTTGACCCTAGGTGTTCGGGTCAACTTGTGCGCACCTCGACTAATCCCAAGTATTTCAGAGAACGATCAGGAAAATGTCCAGTAACCTTGCAAGACTCGAGCTTGTGGTCTATGAGGAGAAACCCCAAAGGTGAGTTGAGCTAACGTGGGTACATTTGTTGGAGTGTACTCTTTGCAATTAGAGTTATACTCTGTAAAATCAAAGTTCAGATACAGTTGTAATTGCTCTCTAATCTTATCCATTAATGGTTATAACCATTTTAACCGCTCATAACCCATAATTGTCGACCTCTCATATAGTCGCACAAAAAGTGATTTGGTAAAAATTTATTTTTTTAAATTTACAATTTCACAAACATATGTGAAGTGGAAAAATGTATTTATGTAATTTTCTTTTTTGATTTAGCTCCTATATCATTAAATGAGAGTTATAAAATCAAAAAATCTCGTATCATATTTGATATCACTGCCTAACAAGTAACCATCATTCAAAATTAGAGTTTATCTAACTCTACAACTTACGACCAAGAGAAGAAATATGAATAATTGTTCTTCTTCGATGACGATGGGAATTGCAGCGATGATTTATCTTCGTCGGGGAACATCATGTATGGTGGCGGTTTTCGTTTGTCTTTGTTGATTCTAGGTTTCTTGTGGATGACTCTATGACATTAGGAATCTTGAAACGACGGAAACGTCCGACTACACGTCTTGAACTTTTAGAGAATAATTGAAGTTTTCTTAAATTGTGTTAAATTTCCTTTATTTAAAGAATTTCAATAAATAGAAATGATTATACATTAATGAAATGTACCATTTTGCCCTTTTTGCATTCAATAAATTGTTTAATTAGCTATTTTTGATCATTGTTGGATTAGAGTTAATCAAGGTCTATTAAGGTGTTATTCGGTTTTTCGTTTTTTTTACGGTTTTCCCCTTAACCCAATCCTATATACACACACACACACACAAAATTAGTGTCATAATTCGTGTATGTAGTTTTTAGATTATCCCAGTACTGATTTCGTGAAAACCCAAGGTATTAAAGGGGCAAATATAGTGTTTGGAAAGTGTTTTTTCCTATACATGATCTAGAAACTTATCCAAGTATTGTATAACCACAAACTCGGTTTCCCAACAATTGGTAAAAGTGCCTTAACTCGTGTATGCAGTTGTTTTTAAATTATCCCAGTACTAATTTCGTGAAAATCCAAAACATTAAAAGGGCAAATATAGTATTTGAAAAGTGTTTTCCGTTACACGATCTAGAAACTTATCCAAAGTATTGTATGACCACAAACTCATTTTCCCAACAATTGGTAACAGAAGAACATGGCGAGAGCCAGCAAGAAAATGCAATGTCACACACATGTTGACCAAAATGCTGACCCCATAAGGAAGGTGTTGCTTTCTCCATGTTTTAGTCAACACTTACCCAGACACTTAGTAAACAACCATTTTCAGTCGGGCGCTTACCCTAACAGCACTCTTACTTGGTTTACCACTCACACAATTTGTGTTGGTAGACAGCCCCTAAATAAATGAATTTTTCTTGACAGCCCCTGGGAGATCTCTGTGAACTTTTAAGAGGAAGTGGCTTCAGTTTGCAGTGGGGAGCCTCCACCAGTGATCAGAGTCCTCTATGTCTCACTCTGCACCGTTATATACACAAGACCATCGCACATAAACATACAAGACAATTTTAGAAACATAAATGTTAACATCATCAAATTACAACCTGCAGAATAGGAGTCGTTGCCTTCTGCACAATTTCAATTAAGTTTTCTTTAATGGCAGCCATTACATTACACCGCTACCTTCCTGCACTACTTCATTTGCTCCATAACTGATTGCAAGATCTCTTTCTTCAGTCTGCAGATCCATAGATCATTCACTATAAAGATAATGAAACTACGCACAATAAGAAAGTAGCAAAGCTAAAGAAGTCAAATGCAGACAAAAACAACCGTAAAACACAAGGTTATCAATCTTGAAACCCGAAAAAGTCAATACTAGACACGATAAATATATATATATATATATATATATAGAATTGGGGCCGTGTGAGAATAAGAGTTATAGGGAGAAACATGAGAACAAAACCTTCATCTAACTTCAACTACCTTCATTGACCTACTTTTATCATCATTGATTGAAACTATTACAAATTCATGCATATGAAAGCAACTGAGGATATGTAGAAGCGAGTGAAAGTGAAAATTGAGGTTGACGAAGGTAGTTGAAGGTCCGTGATGTTTTAGCCGTTAGATAAAAAACCAACTCATCCCATGGTTCAGAAATACTCTCACCATTCTCACCGGAACCCAAAACAGACGCGAACGCAGTACAAGCTATCGCAGAAATTATGATAAGGATCGGGATAAATTAGTTCAAGGGGATAAAATGTTAAAAGTTTATAAAAGGAGGGCTAAAAAGGGACAATCGAAAAAGGGCTAAGTCGGTTAGAGGAGAGTAGCTTTATTGTTGGAAGGGAGGCAGGGTAGGGGACAGTTTTTTGGGTTTTGCTACGTTCACCGTTTTGGCTCTCGCTTCCAGCTGAGAGAAGGGAAGATTCCCTGGATTGTCAATTGTTCTTCTCTTTTCTTTCCAATTTCAATCTAATAACCTCCTTCCATAGTATTTTTCTGTGTTAATTCCAAATTGCTATTTCTATTCTCTATCAAATTGCTGCATATCACAGGAGTACCAACAGTCCCTGGAGTTGGTGTGTTACTGACAACATGAAAGTCAACAAAGGCTTTATGACCAGTTGATTGGTTTTTGCAACTTTGACATCTATGACCAGTTGATGGATCCCCTTGGTTCTCAGGTATAAGGTTCTTCTTTGATTGATTGTATGTTGCCTTGAGACTGCACTGCCTTAAAGCTGAGAAAACTTTGCCCTCAGCCCAAAAGAAGTCCTACTTAACTTTTGTCGTCAAAAAAATAATTGAACTGCAACTTGACAAAGAATTATTTCCAATTTGTGGAAATCATTGATAACTTACATCAAGTAAATGAATATATCAGAATGAGCGTATTTTGACTATAAAAAACTACAAAAGGAGATGTAAATATCGAATCTAAAAGTCACCATGTTTGATCAAGAAATGTCAAGAGTTGGGAGGAACTGGACCAACGATCACTGCTTATCATAGCATCTCAGGAGGAAGCTGGACCGACTACAACTGTGTTACTACTGCATCTAAAAATCAGAACTAATTTTCTACTTCTATGTATGAAATGGTCATGCTTCACTTCAAAATGAATAATAACTTTTTTGTTTGCCAAGAAAAAGAAAAGATGGAGAAACTACATCCATTAAAGAAGAGGTATATATATTATGAATTTGACAAATATTTTGTTTGAATCCACAAAATCGAACACCAAACTTGTCTTCATACTTACTGAAGAAAAATCTCTGTTCTGGTCAGCTCAGGGAAGAAAAGGATTTGAGATATAATCTCACGCGCCACCGTCAGCCACTCTTTCATGTATATATGTAAGCATTAGTGCTCAGTAAGGGTCTGTTTACCTACTACCTACTGCTCGGTCAGTATGGCTGATGCTGTCGACATCAGCTAGTTAACCTAAAGAATGATCTGACTGATGGTACTGACAAAGCACCTACCCGGCAGCATTATTATTTCACTTACCAGGTCACCACAAGATGATAAAGGTATTTTATCGCTAAGCACTCACTACAAAATCCTTGGTAAAAAGCCATTTTCAGTCAATGTTACCTTGACTGAACCTCTTACTCAGACTGCATTCTTACCCGGTTAGCATTTAACCAATTTGTGTTGGTAACTGGCCTCTTCATCTCAACTTGAGAAATGTCGATTCACTCTATCATGTGGCGACCGAACATTCCAAGAACCTGATACGTTGACTCTAGGTGAGAACCACCACCATCTCCAGCAACAAAACTATAGATATGATCTTTGATCTCCACCCAACTCCTACCAGCCACTTTCTTATTCCCCAATTCGTTTATCAAAGTCCTCATTTTGGCTCGATCACCCCATTTACCTTCAGCGGTATACATATTAGCCAGCAGTACATAAATCCCCGCCTTCCTAGGCCTCAAATCCAACACCTGTTGGGCAGTCATCTTCCCCATAATTGGATGCCCATGTGCTTTACAAGCTCCAAGAAACGCTGCCCAAACAGATTCATCAGGTTTGAACCGCATATTGAGTATCATATCATACGCTTCCTTGACCCTTCCACCACGACCAAGAAGATCAATAGCGCACGCATAAATTTCTTGATCTGGGGTAATTTTGTACTCGTTAGTCATCAATTTAAAGTAACTTAATCCTTCATCAACAAGACCAGCATGACTACAAGCAGTAAGAAGTGCCATGAACACAATTGTATCTGGCCTTATACCTGAATTCACCATTTGATTGAATAACTCAACAGCCTCTTTTCCATATCCATGGTTCCCGAATCCAATCATCATTGATGTCCAAGAAAAAAGATCCCGACAAGACATTTCACAAAAGATTCTGCTCGAATCCTCAATGCTTCCAGACTTTGCATACATGTCGATCAGAGAATTTGCCAACGGCAAGTCCTGTTCAAGGCCTCTCTTGAAGATTCCTCCATGAATCTGTTGCCCACATCTTAATACTGACAAGTTAGTACAGGCTGCTATAACGCTGGTATACGTGAAGCAATCTGGAGTACAACCCACAAATTCCATTTGCAAAAACATGTGCAAAGACTTCACTGGATCGAACTTCTCATATCCTGCTATTAAAGTGTTCCATGTAATTGAGTCTCTTTCCTTCATGCCATTAAAACACTCATCTGCTTCATGAAAACAGTTACACTTGCAATACATGTCCAGTACAGAATTGGTTACTGGAATATTAAGATCAAACCCCTGTTTGAACACTGAAGCATGTATCTGCTGGCCATAAGTAAGAGAGCCAATTCCTGCACATGCCCTGACTGCAATCGAGAAACTATAAGGGCATTGTTCAGCATCCTCCTGTCAAAAAAGGGTGAAAGAAATCTGAGTGGATAGTTCTGGTAGAAAAATCATGAAACGGGATTTAAACATTTGTCATGTTTCAATTACATGGAATACAGGAAGGTTCAAATGAAAACCATAAATATTTTAAAAACCATGAGAACCAGTTATAGCATCGATGCATACACATACTTGCATATATAGTCATACACATTGATGAAATACTAATGTACCAATTCATTGGTTGAAATCCATTGGATATCAGATTTTACCAACTGATTGAATGAAATTAATTTCAGTTATATGCACCAATGCATATATACTTGCATATATAGTCATACACATTGATGAATATACTAATTGACTGATACATTTTTTGATAGTGTACATGCATCAGTGTACATGCATCAGTGCGAATATATGTATATATTGGTTCTCATGGTTCTCAAAATATTTATGGTTCTCAATTGAACTTTCCCCACATGCAACATACCATAAGCATTTGTCGAAATACTTCAAGGGCTGCAAGCCCATCATTCCTATGAGTGAATCCAGTCATAATAGTAGTCCAAGACACCTGATTTTTCACAAGAATCTCTCCGAACATCAAACAAGCATGCTCCATGGTAATACAACAAGTAGCATACATGTCCAAAAGAGCATTATCAACATATATGCTACTACCAACAAAGCCATGCCTCAAAGCCAGCCCATGACTCAAAGCACCGTGACAAAAAGATTTCATGCCTTTACAAGCCTTTAAAACACTCGAAAATGTGAATTCATTCGGGTGTTCCAAACTATCACTCATCATATCTTTAAACATCATCCATGCAAAGTTGAGGCGATTACAAGCTGTGTACCCAGAAATCATGGCCGTCCATGCAACTACGTCTCGTTCAGGCATTTCATCAAACACTTGGCGTGCTTGTTTAAGTAAACCAGTATCAAAGTAAGCCTTGATGAGATTAGTGGATAGTTTGGCAGTATATTTTGGTTGAAATGACGGTGGGTTTGATTCAAGTTTACAATTTTGGATCGAAATTAGAGCATTTCGAACTGGTAGAGGGATTTGATTGGCCACTTTTCTATAACTCATAATTAACTTGAACCTGCAGTTTCTTGGAAAAAAAAAACTCTTGATGCACCAAAATGTAGTTAAATAAATCTTATTTGGTTAGTAGCAACCTAACTCACTTTTTGAGTTAACAAATTGGTTTTTCAACGGCAAATTCAGGGGTTTTCACGGTCGGATTTGAGATTTAACTCTCAAACGAGATCGTGACGGTATTTTAGAAAAATTCCAAATCTTACTAAAAAAATACGGTCTGGTATGATCGATTTAGGTGGTTTGGACGATTTATTGACTTTAAACTAAAAAAATATAATATTTATATTCAAAACCCATCAAAACCACCGACAAAATTGAGCAAGTGGAATAACAATTTGGAATTTTGGATTTGATTTTTGACGGATTTCAGATTGTTTCTAGTTTAGATAACATAGTCAATTGAGAAATGAAAAAACTAAAAACATAATGTCTTTGACGAACTTTTTTTTAATTATGTCATAAAAATTGATCCTACAACATAAACTAAACATTGTTAATGCATGCGTATTTTTGGCGGTCGGTTCGGTCGAGACCGTTTAAGAAAACATTCAAAACGCAGACCAAACCAAACCAAGTGGTTTGACTATTTTTCAGATCAAACCGGACAGCCAAACTGCTCAAACCACTAAAAAACAGTCCGGTTTAACTTGACTTTCGATTTGAACGGTCCAATAGTTTTTCTGAACACCGTTAGATAAATTGGAAATTTTTTGCCAAATAAATTGAATATTGGAATTGTATTCATTGGTTCTTGAATGACAATTCTATATCCAATTAAAATTTAAATCTTATTAATCTAATAACTCACTTATTTATTATTTCGTTAATAAAAATATAGAATTAATATTTTTTTTTAATATTATAAATTGCAATATTCTTAAAAAATAAAAACATCACAAAATGTTAAAACCTCAAAAATCAAAGTTAAAAACCTTAATTCAAAAATATCAATGATTATTTTTAATAGCAAAACTGGAATGAAGAATTTTGATCCATTTTTATAATCTACGAGGAGATGGTGTAGAAATAAAAACGTCGCTTGAGTTTTAACAGGATTTTCCTTTTCTGGTTTTACAATTTAATAATTGTTATTATTTACCTGTTATATAAGAGGCAATTGAGTCCCTTTATTGATTGCAAAGTGATATCATAGACCCTTAAATGTGTATTTTGAAAGTATATTCCCAAAAATAAATTGAAGTAAAACACATTGTGTTCTTACACAATTTGCCCTTTATAGTATTTGTAAGATATACGGGTCTAAGACTCAAATATCATCTCGTCAGAGATGTTGGGGAATATACTGTGAATTTAGATAAATTACTAGATGCACACCTAAATTTGGTGCATGATCGCTTCAAGTTTTACTTAAGATCGCTGACGTAATCACTTCGTTTGAAGCGTATCGTTGCAAAATTCGCGTCTCACATTGCCATATATCATTGTTTTGTTTCTCAGACTTGATTCAATTTCATATTGTAATCTCCGTTAAATGTGGATTTTTTTTAGTTTGAGATTTGTTGGTTAACACAAAAAGGTTCCATACTATTGATTGTAAAACTACTTTTTAAATAACTACAAGGGTGGTGTCTGATTGGTTTGAGTTTGACTCCAAAAGTCAAAAGTATCAGGAGGTTTCAGGTTCAAATCCAAGGAGGAATAAAAATCCCCTTATGGCCACGGAGGTTCAAATACGGTGAATCCGGGCTATCTACAAAGCAGGTGGTCGCCCTGGGATTAGTCGGCTCACATAAAGGGTTGAATATCCAGGTTAATAAAAAAAATACTTTCTAAAATATCCCATATTTTCAAAACATGTTTTCTTTTTTTTCTTTTCTTTTTCTCTCTCTATATTTTATTTTGTAGTTATATTTTTTTTAATAAAAAGTCATTTAAAATAAAATGAATATTTAAATAATAACTAAAAATCTATATAGATGTAATACTTTTTAATACACACCAACAAAGTGATTAGGAGCAAAAAAGTTGCATTCATTGTTAATATTTTTGCAAGAGCAACCATAATACAAAGATGGTGTGTATATTACATTGCAAAAGGATTAAGGGGTCGTTTATCAAATACTTACTCGGTAAATGTTTATCGTAAACTTAACATTATCATTTACTTATATGATAAGATTTTAGTCCACCAAAACAGTATCGTATGCAACAATTTACCCGGTAAGCGCTTACCGTGTGAAGAGTCGTCGCTTTCACTTACCGGGTAAGACTCTTGGTCTTTGTCTCGCTCTTACCGGATAAGATTCTTGATCCTTACCATATTCATCCGGTAAGGTAAAATGACTTGGTGTTCACTTACCCGAGTAAGCGTTTGGTAAACGGCCCCTAAATCCACAAGCAATCATCCAAATAGAAAAAGTAGATATTAAATCTAGGTTAAGGTTTTGTACATTTTCTCTTATTATAACCGATTTTGCATTTCACATTTACGAGATTTATCGTAATGTCGATTGTTTTTTGGATTCGATTTTTATTACGACCATTCACGATTGATTAAACTTTTTTGTTTAAACAACGTCAAGCTTCCAACCAACAATCGTTATAAAGAAGTGGAACAAAATATGAAGCATATTGACATCTGTATAAAAGTTGTGTAAACCTCATTCGCGAGTATGATTGGGTTATATCTTCTCTATTGACAAGCTGCAATGACATGTGAACATAAGAATATGAGTTTTACACACACTTCTTCTGATAATAACGGACGATTTGTACATTTCCATCAATGCTATTTATTTTCCTGACTGTGATAAAACCTGTACAATTCGTTTGTGTAGTCAGATTCTTGTATTTAATGTTGTAACACCCCTAAAATCGAAAATAACAAAATTATAAAACTTCTGAACTCTTTCAAGTTAAAATAACTTTAATACATAAATACATAAAGGTTATATAAAAAGGAGAACTAGATAAGTATTAGAGTTCTAAATATGATTATTTAATTCCAAAACAACATTGGAATAAGTCGGGTATTACTACAACATCAAATTTGCTATCTTCAAAACCAGATGACACCTCTAGAGTTATCCTACTAGAACCTCTACTAAGCGTCGAACCCTAATCAGATCCCACTAAGATATGATATACATACCGATAAGAAAAAATATTAGGCTTAATACCTAGTGAGTTAGAGCAGTATTATCTCATAATCATAAAACAGTAAAACCAGTATAGTTCTCTTTAAATCGTCAATTCCTTATAACTAAAATAATTTGAAGCTAAAAAGGAATATCTTCACAAAAGCAAACGAGATCTAATAATGGAGGATACTTGTTTTGGATCAAACCCGACATCCAACCCACACCAATAATAAGTGGTAAAACTCATGCCACAAAACACTCAAAATGAGGTAATACTTTGTACCCCGAATCACTGAAAGCATGGAAGAACTCGATATCTAAAACAACACCTTTCGATGATGGAGGAGACATGTTTCCATCAACTATAGTGAAACACAAAGCAACCCATGTGCCAATGTCCTCAAGTAGTGCCTTAAGATCACGGTCTCGATGTTTAACTCCTCTTAAGTTTCTACGGCAAATACCTAAGGTCCCAAAGCCAACCCCACACGAGTTCAAATCTGTAATACCCTTGATCTTAATGCTTACTTACTCACCATAGAAATACACTTACAAGCCAAAGGTCCTAAGACCTTATCCACGAGTTCATTCCCATAATACCATGATGACTAAGTGTCAATTATACTAGGCCAAAATTTCAAAACATGGGTATTGGTGCTCGACTCCTCACGAGTTCATCAATGTAATACCCATGGTCCCGGAGTCCGACTCAACAAGAGATCACCTCTGAAATAGCCATAGTCCCGGAGTCCAACCCACAAGGATTCCTCTCCGCAATACCGACTACGGTCCCGGAGTCCAACCCACACAGATTTCTCTCTGCAATATCAACTACTCAAATACCACAATGACCGACTCACATGCCTATGGATCCAATACATTATAGTCCAAAAACATGACTCCAATTGAATGACTAAGTGATAGGTGTTAATTTATTAACCCTATTACATTATTTTTCTTACCTTTTTCATTTCTTTTATTTTCCCTGTGATAACCGGATCTTGGTTTTCACCTGATGTAACTAATACGTGATTATTTTATATGCTTACGTCACATCATGATAAACTGATATATTTGGTCATGAGAATATGTGAAATTTTTATGCATAAGAATGTATGCATAATGTGTGAATATGTATGATTGAAATTTGTACATGCATTATATGCTTTTTATGCATAAAAATTGGTTCATGCATGGGTAAGTATGCATTGGCATGCATACATGTAATGGGCTATTGAGCCACCATACTTAATTTAGAAGGGGTATACATATGAGGGTGAGGCCTCATACCCATTTTTCTTGCCATTTTGAATTTTTCTTGCCATTTTGAACTTAGAGTGAATTCTAAAAGTAAGAGTTGATTGGATTGCTTTCTATCTGAATTTCGAGACAAAAGTATTTCAAGGTGAGTGGTGAATGTTTTAAAAAGTATTTTGAATTGCTTAATTGATTTGAGTATGAAGTTTACCCGGATTTTAGCTTAAATCGGACAAGTGATGTCCGGATTATGATTAAGTCGGACACGTGTTGTCTGATTTACTTCTAATCCGACCATAGTGTCATGCGATTTGGAGGGGATGAGATTTTGATATGTAATCGGATAAAAGTTTTGAACGGAGAAGTAGGAATACGATTAAAAGTTGTTCGGTTTAGTTATAAACCGATCGATATGTTGTTCGATTTAGTCATAAAATCGATCAAGGGTTTACCGGTGTAGTATAAATCGATTGCACTTTGATCGGACTTGTTTGAATGTTGTCCGGATTGATAAATCGGACGAGTTTATATTGAGTTGTCAGAATTTGTAATCGGACAAAAGGACTTGTTGTCCGGATTAGTTTACCGGTCAAGACTTGACCGGAGATGAAGTCCGGCCAAGTCTATGTT